ACCTAGACTGGGTGCACCAAGAATTTGTTCACATACTTAGCTGTACTAAATATTCTGTGAATGAACTAGAGGTTTAACTACAAATCTGCTTTCAAGTTACCAGGGCAAAAGGTACATAAATTACAGCTTATTCTTTGACTATGTCCTCGTTCTCTTGCCACAGACCGATTTGTCAATATTTATGCATTACACACTTAGGATTGAAGTACTGTCATCAGAGGTCCATGTACAAGTAACTCCACTTGACAGAGCTGCACATGTATAATACAGGGCAGAATCTGAAGAACATGTACAGATAGGAGAGAGAGATTGAAAAGAAGGCTGTAACAGTATTTTCTTAGCTAGACTGTCTGGTTTTGTAATAGGGATTTTGTCTTCATACATATCTGCAACATGTGTAGTAAAATCCTGGTACCACAGTAATAACAATAATGTTATTTTCACCACCTTGGCACCACTCCAAAGTAACACAAGCCTAATAACTGCGAGAGATATTACTCTAGTGCCTGTGGTTCTCAACCTTTATAGACTCAAGGCATCCCCCAGAAAATGCCAACTTTTAAGTTTTCACTATGTTTTTGACTGCAAAAAAGTAACAGAGTGATTCTTCTGTTTCCAAGAACTCTGAATGGCCCAACAGATCATAATTGTTTTAACTCTTGTGGATTCCCATTTCAAATCTCTGGGTTTATACTGTGAATCATGCCTGCACATCTAATGATGGCAATATTGTGTGGCACCCCATGCCATTGTGACAGGCTAGCTGGCAGTGACCTAGCCCAGGAGTTTTGAAGGGGTAAAAGAAGATTGGAGGACTTGGGATTCCCTTTCCTCACCAATCAGGCCCCAGAGACTCACCCTCCATGTCCCCTGATTGGCCCCTTGGGTCACCTGGAGGGGGATAAAAGGGGCAGCGTGGCTGACTCAGGGAAGAGACCAATAAGGGACCATGAGGAAGGAGCTTCAAAGAGCTGAGCCAGTGGTGCAGAAGCAGTTGCCCCAGAAGAGCCTGAAGGAGTGGGACCTGCAGGCAGCAGTTGGACCCTCAGCAGCACGGCGTGTGGCCAGCAGGAGAGGCTCCCTGCTGGGCTCCAGGATCCCCTACCAGAGGCTACGAGAGGCTGTGGCCAGCAGGAGAGGCTTCCCGCTTCAGCAAGGATCTGAGCAGTGACCTGAGGAGTTCCCAGCTCGGCTTCCAGCTCCTCCAATCAGAGACCAGGCAGCATGCCGTGAGGCCGGGGCTCCAGGAAGGTCAAGACCCCTAGCAGCCAGTATTGTTTCCTCATTAAAAGGTATATGGTTAAGTCCCCAGTGGTGGTCTGGCTCTGCTCTATAGGGGGAGAAGAGTCCCTACACCTCCCACGGCGCTTGTGCACCTGCTCTGATCCCTTCAATTGGAGAGGGGGTACCTTTTGGAGTACCACCCAGGTTACACCATCCTTGAAAGGATCTCAAGGCACCCAGAGCGACTTGGAACACTGGTTGAGAATCACTGTTTTATGCTAACTGCAGTTGATCATAGTTCTGTGTTATTTAAAAAAAAAAAAAATTTCAGCAGATTCAGCAGGCAAGCATAGCTCTCTTTACTATTATGGAATTACAGGCATTTTGGGTGCACCTCCATGTTCATTAATGCGCTTCTGCTACTGAGCATTAAATTTAGTACCTCTAATGTGAGATATTAAATGCAGATTAGGCTGCCTTTTTTAAATGCACATGCTTTTTTAGTGATACTTAAAGCGCAGTAACTTATTTTTACTGTGCATTAGCATATTAGCATGGTTTTTGATGAGACACTTTAATGTGTAGTAAAATAGGCTATTGCACATTAAAGTACACAAGTAGATGCACCCTTTGAGTCTTAAAAAGTGAAACAAATGGTCACCTAATTTTGGATTGATATATATCCTACACAACTCATTGATTTCAAAGGGAATTATAATGACCCCACTGATTTCAAAGGGCTGCTTTCCATGGTGATTGGTGCTGGATGAATTCAGTATAGGCAAAACTTGGCTCTGAACATGCATTAAGGTGGCTTTTTGGGTAATCCCCAGTGTTTGTTTTAATTTGTTAGGAAGCAATTGTTAGCTTTTATTTTTACTTTTTAATTTTTTTTAATCCAAGTTTTAGCTCTGTTTTGCAAAGCAAAGTTTGAAATACTGAAATGTATTTTGTCATTGTAACCTCAATGCTTTAATGGATTACTACAGAATAATATATAGCATCTGGACTTCTCTTACTTCCAAAACATCAGAGTACTGTGTATTTAATCATTTTAAGACGTGAACATGGTTTTTTTTTTTTTAAATAAGGAACCCGGGACAACAATTTTTTAATAAGAGTGTATATGTTCATGAATCAAAGAGCTTGATTCACAGGCGCAATAAGGGTCCAGTTTTAAACTTCATGTGCAATGTCAAATAATGTATAGCTACAGGCCTGGTAGTGTTCTGAAAGCAAATGTTTGGAGCCAAGTAGTGATTGCAATTTAGGAGTCTTGGATTAAGTCTAATTTGAGATCATAAGCAACTTTAATGAAGGAGTGTGCCTTTAAAACACATCATGGTAATACAGCAGTCTAAACAACAAAGCCACTAGAAAGAATTTGGCAGATCTGGCAGCCATTATTTTTCATGAGGGGCTGAAAAGCACAAGCAAGTAAACTGTCATCCCTTGATGCTCTCTGAAGGTACAGGACTTATTTGAAGGCCTCTGATAGCATAGCTGGCTGATCTGGGGACTTCAGCATCCAAAAACACTCATACTTAATGATTGCAAAAACCAACAAATCTGCAGGGGTTTTGTTTTATCATAGCTTGAAAAATGTGTTTCCTGTGATTTGATGACAACCCACATGCTTGTGCCAGGACAATGTTGCACAATATGTTATAAGAAAAATTTCTTTGACTGTTTGGATTCCAGCAACTATTATATAAATCTCTTATGTGACACAGATAAGTACTTGAGAACTCTAAGCCTGAGGTACTAATGTCTTGAGACAAGATGGACTCAGGTGGCACAATAAGCTGGTCTTTCACCCTTGAAGACAATTTCAAAGCTTAGCTAAGTACCCAAAGTGAAAGTGAATGTGCTTGTCCAGGGCAAGCACTAATCCCCACCCAGCTGCATGCATCAGAAAACCAAAACAGGATTGGTTCAGAAAAAGGCAAGGTGTTGGAAATGAGCACCCAGTAGGAGAGAGGCACAAGCAGTTGGCCATCATGTGACTCACTTCTCTGACTGGCTTAGCTCACATGGTGCTTGGCTCAGAAAACAGCTACCTTTTTCTTTTTTTTCCATTGCTGGGATGCAACGCAAGGCACGTCCAAGACATTATGTAGGTGCCTAAAGTGGGATTTAGATGGAATTTTAGACTCTTTGTACAAAAACTTTGTACCCCATCCCAGCTGCTTCACACTCTCAAACCTACAGGCACAAGTTTATGTCCTTAGTATTCTCAAGGTCCATGTCCAAAATCCCCTTCCTAACAGGGCTGAGACTATGTCCTTAGCTCACCCACAAGGCTGACTGGGATCCAGAAGCAGGCATTCTTCCTGCCTCACCCCCTGAGACTGAGTCTGGCAGGCATTCAAAGGACCGAGAGTTTCATATTTTATTTTAAGCACAAAATATATAAAAGAGATGAACAGTTTGGGAAGTAGGGACTAGGACCCAATCTCCTCATCTTAGGCAAAGGCCCTGACCATTAGGCTGTATTGTTATATTCTTACTCCTACATCCTCTGTCCAAATGAAATCTGAATTCTTTTCTGCACTGTCTCAGCTTCAGCAAAAGAGATGTGGTTATGAGAGTACAGGCAAGTGGTAAGAGCACAGTCCTGGAGGTGAAGTGGATTAGATACCCTCATACACAAGAACTGAAACTGTCTTCTACTTCCTGGATGAGTACTCTAACCTCCTCCCTTGGCCATACTTTTTTCAGTGAGCCCTGCTTAGTTTTTCACTTACTTTCAGAAAAAAGATTCCCAGCTGTAGATCCCAAGTACATGGAGGTATCTTCCTGAAGCTCTGAGTAAGATGCCTGATTGTAGACTTGCCTGCATCGCCACTGTTTCCTACCAGATAGGTCTAGGCAGCTGGAACATTTATATTAGTATTTTGTAGATTGATGTAAATTACTTCAGGATTTGTAGCAGGCAGATGACCAAGCATTTCAAGGTTGCTGCTTAATATAGGTGCTATTACAGAGTCTCTCTACTAGGTGGCTGGGAAGCAGGTAAGAGCTCATGTACCTTAAGCAAATGGCTACTCCAGGATAGTGTTGGAAACACATCACTTACAGTGAGGTAACTGACACCAATGTATTTTTACCTTGATTTTCCCAGGTTAGTTCCATACTAGATTCAGGTGAGTTACCCCAGCATAGCAATGTATGATGTACATCCACTTCTTTTTTCCACCAGTGTAAAAACAGATATTACCAATGTAAACGTGACATATATGTAGACCTTACATGTTCTAAGTTTAGGTAGCTCCCTGTTTAGCCTCTGGGAGTTGGTTTGGATTGCACTCTATGGCATTTAATTCCCCCTAAACACCACAGAGGAGAAATAGGTGCTTTAAGATAGGGTTTTGGATTCCACTCCAGGTGACAGGCACTAAAAGATAGGTGTTGTACAGTCTAACATGTTGGTGCTTAAATACTCTCTGGATCTGGCTTCAAGTTCCTTGCTTCTATGATGACTAAATTCAATCACAAATTTAAACCAAAGAGGCAGCAATGCACTCTGACACCTACTCTTGTGGGATAGTCTGTGTTGATCTTCTCTAGCTCCCACTGAGCAGAGAAACAGCTGCTATCCATCTAATTTAGTCCTCTGTAGCCAAGCCGGTTGTTACTATATATGGTCTCTTATCTGGGTGGCACAAACAAGTGCTAATCTTGTCTCTTGGGCTAGCAAAAAGATGAGAGATGCTACCACCTTTTGCCCCACTGGAAAAAATAATCAAATACTTATATATAAGAGGACTGTTTAATATTTCACAAATCATTTTTATTAATTTAAAACAAAATTAATGAAGAAAAATTCTGTACACAATTGTGGACACAACACACGTTTTGTACAATAAGGCCCAGATTATCTGTTTTTTTTCAGTCTGCATAATGACTATAAAAATTTAGAAGGCAAAAAAGTCACTGTCTACTTTGCTTGAAGCAAAATAATGATAATGATAATACTAATAATTATAGTCCCAATCCTAAAAATTATCCACAATCTGCTTAAACTTTATGTACTGTAAGTAGTTCCTTTAACTTTGCTGGAGTTACTCACACTGCATGAAGTGAAGCACATGTGTAAGTCTTTGCAGGATAGGAGCCTTAGTTTGTAATTAAGCAATTTTGAAAATCCACAAATGATTAATTCTAGCAGCAATATGAATCCTCCAACAGAGGAGGGTGTTGCTTTGAAGCTACTTCGGTGCTTTTCAGCTTCTCTGGTAGCTGTTTAAAGGCTGGTGTTTTAGGCAAAAAAAAAAAAAGAAAAAAGAAAAAAAGGGTAAAAGCTGGAGAATAAATCAACAAAGCTGAGGTTTCTTTTTACTGAAGGGATGAAAATCATGGAAAGTGAACTGGTACATTGGTTTATTTAAGGCCAAGAAGTCAGATTTGCAGTTTGTCTGACCAAATGGCTCATGGCCCTCATGATTCCTATTAGAAAAGTTCTAACTCAAAGACAGACATAGTGTTCCTCCTGGGCATGAATCCTTCTGAAGCAAGTCTTAACCGTTGGCGATAACTGGTTTAGTGTGTCCATTGCCGGCAATGGATGTTATCTGTTAGGAAAATACGAGTCCTGGTAGAGGAGGATTAAAAAAGTGAAGTGTGTAAACCGGGATAACAACTATATTTTGCTCCATTTCTCCAAAATATCCTCTTTTCTAACTTAAGAAAAATAAAGTTAGCTGCTATCATTTTTTAATCAAAATCTGATTTTTAAGTACTGTTTTATAATATATTCTCTATTCTCCACATTCTTTTTATGGGATGAGCTTGTTGATTCAGTTCTTTAAAGAGGTTTAATACATGAACATTAAAACAGAAAACAAAAGACAGCTAGGGACTCCTCTTCAATTAAATGGTGTAGCTATGTGTGTGCATTTAACGCATGGGATGTGGTAACCAATGTTTTCGTAGTCAGAATGGCTAAGGGGAAAATGGAGAAAATAGCTGAAAAAGAACAACAACAAATTCCTTATTGACACTTGACATCCATGCTTTTGGTCTTGACAAATTTATCTAAAAAATCCATTATCTACATATTTATACCCAACACTTTGATAAGGCACAGCACAAGAGTTTGTGCACACATTGCCTCATACCTCACCAACAAGGCATTACTACCTTTCAATAGCATTTACCTAAACAATATGTAAAAGAATCATCCATTATTACAAATTTACACAAAAAAATCTTCCTGTACATGATTGTCTCAGTGATGTACCTATTTGTTTAAATTAGACATACTTTAAACTACTTTGCAATGTGCTAAAATCAAAAGTACTTGCTGTATTACAAGGCAAAGGCTTACAATAGCCTTTAATCCTTTCATACATATCCTCTGTTATATGATGTCAAAGCACAGTCTGTTCATAAATAAGATGTACAGAGTACCCTGGGTAGGAGAAACCAAAAAAGTAAACCTTCTTTACAAGAAAATTACTCCACTGGTATTTTGCAAAACTCAGTCTTCATTGTGCAATCAAGTTTGCTGTGTTGAAGACGCTGTGTGTGTCACATTGAAAATTCTAAAAACTACAAAGTTTCTGCAGGTCCTTTCTTTCTTCACAGGTATGAACCTTTTTTTGTAGCAAATGTGGTAAAGACGCTGTTAAAACATTTGCATGGCTTGTTTTCATTGGATTCATAGTACTAGAGTCAACAGCTGTTCTGAAGAAAAAGACATGCTCCTCCGTTTATTGAAAGGGCAAAGGTTAAGACCAATTTCAGCTGTACGTCAACATGTTGAAATCACAAAGTTCTGTAGTCCAATGCTGACACAAGACACAGGCATACTGTCCATGGGCATAAGGGAGATTCTGGGGTTTCAAAGTGCTGCTAAGCTGCTACAAGTACTCCAGTTCCAAGGCATGATGAAGGGCCATAAGATCAGAGTGGCTTGAGATCCTCCAAAATGGCATGGCATGCTGTGAACAGCACAAACACAATGTGAAAAAACTAAGCATTCTGATATTCAGTCTCACCTAGAGTCCTTTTCAAGAATAAGGTAATATTGCAAGAAGAGAGAATAGTCCATGTGGCCTCTGTACATGAAGTGTTCAAGAAGAGCTGTAAGAACTCCTAAATATATTTAATGTAAATCTTAATAACATCAAATTCATTTTGAAAACACACGCATGCATGTGTACACACACACGGTCCCCTTAAAGTGTAATTACTGAGTCCAATTTTTTAAATATTTTTTTCTCAAAAAGTTATTATGCATGTTTTGAAATAATTTAAAAATATATTCCATATATGAAACAAATATGTACCAAAAATAACACTTGGTGACAAAGAAAATGAAGAGTAACTACTATTCACTGTCAAGCCATGCATATTTTTTGTGGAACTACTGCTGGCAGGTAAATTGAAGAACTTTTTAGCAGTGATTCAGAATATGTCAATATGTAGCCCAAACCATGCTGATGGTAATTTTTTCCTGGTGGTATGTATTATAGTGGTCACTGTTTCCACTGACTTAAAAACAGCTTTTCCATATGGGAGAATTTTTAAATGAATGTTTAATTTTTTCCCCCAATCAGCTGAAAAATAAATCTGGGTCCAAATCATGGATCTGTTTGTAAAACACCTGAATAAACCAAAGACAAGAATAACAGGAAAAAACACAGATTATCTCCTCTGTGAAGGCTAAAAATCTGATTGTGAAAACTCACTAACCTTAAACTGGAAAGCAGGCACTACAGTGTCAGCAAGACTATTTTATAAATAAAAGATAGATAACCATCGCCTCTTGCAGAGCAAATATTCTGTTCATCCCATGGGAAAAACAGCTCCAATGCAAAAAATAATCTGAAGGCTGACATGAATATGTTTAGCATTTCATCAGTTCAGCTCATGTTCAGCTGATTTCAGGACATGCACTAAAGCCAATGTAACATTACTTGGGCTCATGGAATTCTGAAACATTTTGTTACAGTCCGTTGGGCATGGATTTTCACCCTTCTACAAAACCATCCTTGGTCTTTTTCAATTCAACAAAAACATTCATTTCTCTTGTTTATCTTCACAATACTGACCTTCTTTGTGGCATTTATTCTAGACATTTTCCCTTAGTATTTGACTTATATAAAACTATATATACATAACTATTTATACATACAACTATCAAAATGCCTATATGAACATAAGAGCAGAAATCCTTGTCATTCTTTACTTTGTCCTCAGCTGCTTGTTTTCAGCAAACCCTCAACAAGTTACTGTATGTCTAAGTCAGATTGTTACATTCCCCAGGACAGGACCTATAATTAACTGGGAGAGTCCTGTGTTCAAGTATACATTACAGTTATAATACTTTATTCTCCAATATTATAATCAATAATTGTAGGAGAATTCTGTTGCAAATTGGGCAATAATATGCAACATTGGTGACTGGAGAATGAGGCTGGGATTTTTAGAAGAACCTTAAACTGAAATTATATAGAAGTGCCAAATTTACTTAGGCTCCTTGGAAAATCTAGACTGAAGAAGTAATTGCTATTGTCTGCTTAGGAGCCTGGGAGACCAAACAACCATTGCTCCAGTAAGAGAAAGGAAAACATACTATAAAGCAGGGGTGGGCAGGACTCAGCTCCATTCAGAAAGCAGCAGGGGCAGCTGCTGGTGGGGTCAGATGCAATGAATTGGTGGGTGCCCCCCTGTGGCCCAGATTCAATCAGCTGGCAGGCCAAATCCAGCCCACAGGCTGTATTTTGCCCATGCTAGCTACAGAAGGAAATAAAGTTAAGCACTAAGACCTTGCTGAAGAACGTTAATTAATTAAGAAGGGTGTACTGGTGTAGCTGGAGATTGGGAAAATGGAGGCCGGAGGAGGGAAAAGGGGGCAGGCTTCATAGCACATCTGAATTCTAGAACAGTTAAGCTTCATGAACAGAAAGCAACACTGAAAAAATCCCAATGGATACTTTTTCCCCTCGTCCCCACAAACCTAGAGAAACAGTTAATGATACATTTCTACTTCAGAAACAATGGGGGAGCTAAAAGGCAGCTACTTTCAAAGATTCCAGGTGGCTTTAAGATGCTTTGGGAGAAGAGTTCCAGAGATAAGTATAACAAGGCTTAGAGAGAGAGATCTGCACTACACTTCCCTCAGAGAAGTGAAATCATCCAGCTAGAGGGCAGAAAACGTCTACACTTTCAACCTAGACTTCAGTGGTGTCATTACCAAACTCCAGCAAGAGCAGCTAAATAACCTTCTCCATTTCCAGTACTACTGTCCCAATGCCTTTTTCCTTTTTACACTGTGTGCACGGACTAAACTCCCTATTCTGATCTGTCAAACCAGTCATCCATATTCTCTTCTTCCAAATACCTCCTAAAGATGCATTTCTGTCCTGATGCCCACAGAAAGAATCAACAGTTGAGCAAAGCATACAACAAATTCCTGATCATTTAACCCTCTGGACTTTCCAGTGGCTCCTGTATGTTTATCTCCTGGGGAGGGACTGACAGCTTTGTATGTCTTGTACCATTCAAGCACATTGTTGGTTTCTGGAGATGCACATAAGGCAGAACTGTTTTCTATTCACATCAGGTTTCTGCACTGCTAGTTGAGCTGGTTGCACCTTGTGCTTATTTTTGGTAGTACTGCTCAGCAATACTGCCAGGAAGAAGGCAGCAATTCCCTTCTTCCTGTGCTAGGCTACTGTTTTCCAAGAAGACAACTTGTGGGTAGCACTTCTCCTCCCTCACTGCTTGGCCTGACAGAAACTTCAGGCTTATGTTTTTTTATAATGATCAAAGTTGGTACGTGGTCCACCAGTCACTCATTTATGCCAGGCAGAGATGTACTAACAATGTATAGAAGATGGGACTTGGTGGATATGGTATACACCCGACTTGACATTTACTCAGAAGGAAAGAGCCAAGGAAAAATAAGTCTTGTTCAAGGTCACACAGTTAATCAAGGGTTGAAGGCAAATTATATCAAGATGTTCCTGATTCATATTTTTGCCCTCTATATCATACAGCCTCCCAAGTTGTTGCCCCAGTGTAATGATGGGAACTAATCAGCTATATGGGACGGATGACAAATTCATGTCAAACCACTGAATATATTAAGTTATACATACTCCTTCATGCTGTCAGTGTGCAGCACTGGTTCTGGATTAGTTTCAGAATCTGATTCTGAACCAACATTTCATGCAAGTTTCTTATTCATTACTTGGTTTTGAAAAATTCACCTTGGCTGTATCAATAAGGATAATTAAGATCACCTTAATATACACAGCCATTGATCATTTAGACTAGGAGCCAGCAGGTAAAAGGCTGATCCCATCCCTATTTGTTTATTTTTTGGGTGTCTCTGCATCATGTTTGGAAATTTAAATTTTCTTTGCCTCGGTTTCCCTACCTACAAAGAAGGTGAGATGAATTCTGCCTTTCTGCCTCACAGGAAGTCCTCATAATAAACTCAGAGTATTCTGAGAATTAATTACACTTGAAAGTTGCTATGAAAAAGAGCTAAGTGCTGGGTTAAAATTATGCCCAATCCTTTTGTATGTGGGCCAAAAATGCCAGTGTTAAACTGCCAACAATGGAAACATGCCAGGAATGCAGTAGCTGCAAGTGTATGTGAATTTGCATTGGAACTTTGTTAGCAGGCCTGATCTGCCAAGATCATATGCATGTAAAATGGGGGGGGGAAAAAAAATCTTACTATGGTTCTGTATATATGTCAGTAAGTTAAATGAAACCTAAGAGTGCTTTCCTGTGTAAAATGTTTAGTATTATGAATATTTTGCTGGTGTGTGTATTTGACACACACACACAAACACACACACACACACACACACACACACGCCCCATATATATGTAAATAACTTATATAGACATCGATATACAAATAAGTTGAATGAATATATATATATAGATTTGTGTAATAATGTATTTACCTGAAATGGGTGATGTTCAACTTACATATCAATGTGGTTTTCAACTTACTTACATATGAGAGATAAGTATATCTTATGAGTATACTTATGAGTTACATATGGGAGATAAGTATGAGATACATATGAGAGATAAGTATCTCTCTCATATATGTCATATGTAAATAAGTTGAAAATCACTTTGATATGTAAGTTGAACATCACCCATATAAGGTAAATATATTATTACACAAATCTGTATGGCTTACACATGAAAGCACTCTTAGGTTAGCAAACCTCTGTACAACAGCATGTGGTGGGTAGATAATGATTTATCTAATGTTTTGAGTGTAGCAATATAGTCCCATCTTTTTCACTGGATGACAAGACAGGAAGAGATTTAACTGATTTCTTTTCATTGGTCTTTACTAGGAACTACTTTAAAAAATCATCATTTGCTGACAGTTAATACACAGTGGAACTTGACACACTGCAGGTGTTTTCTATTCTAAGCACATTGACAAATAGTAATATCTCACATAACACCGTGAGATAACGTATGACAAATGCTAACTGTGTATAGCTCGTACAGTGGGTTTATATAATTTACAACTGTTGTCTGATGTAATCTGTAGCTATTTTAATAATGAAACTTTTCCATTATATTCAATCTCTAGAAAATCTGAATACTTTGCCTGTTAAAAAAAAACAACAACACTATTCAGTAAAAATGATATTTTAAAATATTAATGTTTTATGATAACACTTTTTGTGGAAAAACATTTTTGTCAAAAAGTTTTCTTTCTTATGCAAAACTTTTCATTTTAGCATGTTGGGTAAAATCAGAGTCTTCCTTTTTTCTTTTTAACCGAATCAAAATTAGATTTTCCACCACTGAAATAAAACACAAATTAAATTATCCATGGAATTTATCCAAAAAAAAAAAAAAAGAAAAAAAGAAAAAAGAACAACTTTCACAAGAAAATGTTGTAACTTATTTGAATAAAAAGCCCATAAATTACATGCCTTCAGTCATGCTTCCATGTTGTGTGATTCTGTCAGACCTCACTAATCAAATGAGAGACAGTTCAACACCTGTCCAAGATGCTTCCTGGGGAAAATGCTGTAGCATGCCTATATCTGAATAAGTGCTAAGACTACTCCAGTAGATAACAATTTTCTAATAAAGTA